TTCTGCTAGTCTTCCTTACATTTTAAGAAGGATTATAAATTGTTACTAAAATTACTTTGATGCTGGTTGGGGTTACAATAACACGGTCCAATCATATGAGAGATCATTTTACCTTTGAGTCCTATGTGAAGGCGTTCTCTTCAGAATCAGCACTGCAAAGACAAGATGATGGCGTCCACCTTCACAACCTGCTGCTTCAGTCTGGCTGCATCATGGTCACCTACAGGAACACCACAGAAATGCAATCAAAGTACTTCACTTTATTTATCAGAGGATGTACTGTATGCAAAGTAGAATTTTTTTAGCTGTAATTCCTCAAAGATTTGAGACTGCTTTGTTATTTGAGAGCACAGATTGTTTCTTTTCCCTTCTCTCTGTTTGCCTGTACATGACCTTTTAGTGCTGTAAAAGATGCTACAGTAAATCCTGGATCAGCTGTGTGGATGGTGTGACTGTGTGGTAAAGCTTTGTTAAAATTGTGCAGTGTGGTGGCAAACTGCTTATAAAATATAAAATAGTATTTTATTGGTGAGGTGGCCCAATCAAAGCGTCCTACAGAGTAGCAGCAGCTTTAGAGGGAGGAGACGAGAGCATTAATGGAGAGGAGCGCACCAGAGGGGGCGAGCTGGGGGAGAGGCGCACAACCCGAGAAAAAGGAAATCCCTGTTTAAAATATAATGTTGGCGAAAAGAGGGAAACAAGAAGACATTAATGTCAATGTTAAAATTCTTTTGAATACAGAGGCTGTGGATGTTCAGTTTTCTTTGGCTATAAAAAGGCAACAATAGCCTGTAGTTTAATCATGGTGTTTCTCTTCGTTAACGATTATTGAAGCGAAATCAAAAATAAATGCATGACATTTAAAACATACTAACATGTGTGGGGAAAAACGTGATCTTTATGTCTTCTTTTATTGTGCCTGTGTCTCCTCTTAACTACAATAACAGCAGCATGTTGTGTGTAACAGTGGTCTCCTGCATTAACACCTTCCTTTCAAAGGTGTTAAATACAGACACACAGTCACAATCACCGCAATGTTTGTCAGGTTTTGTCAATTTTTAGAACAAATTCTCAATGAGCGTCATTAAATTTACAATATGATCAATATGATGTGTGGAAGACAATGCAGAATATTTATCACGTTTAAGCAGCATGATGCTCGGTTAATATTACCGTATTTTCCGCACTATAAGGCGCACCGGATTATAAGGCGCACCTTCAATGAATGGCCTATTTTAGAACTGTTTTCATATATAGGGCGCACCGGATTATAAGGCGCATAGAATAGAACGTGTTTACAACTGAACAAGGCTGGGAGATATTGTGAATATATAAATATAAATACGTATAAAACTACGTACAGGTATTATTAGGAAAGTATTATTGTGAATGCACTACGTTTTATACGTAGTGCATTCACAATAACTCAACGTTGTTCAAACGTTAATGTGCATATTCACAATATCTCCCAGCCTTGTTCAGTTGTAAACACGTAAAAGAAACACAGTCTGATACCGCTAATTCAAACGCGCATAACTCAACATTGTTCAGTTACGTATAACACGTAAAGCTCACTTTTTCAGTTCATTCCCCGTCCACGAATCCCTCGAATTCTTCTTCTTCAGTGTCCGAATTGAACAGTTGGGCGAGTACGGCATCCAACATGCCCGGCTCCCTCTCGTCATTATCCGAGTCAGTGTCGCTGAGCGCCGTGTACAACCAGTATGGATCAACCAATTAACCAATTGATCCATATATAAGGCGCTCCGGATTATAAGGCGCACTGTCGTTTTTTTGAGAAAATTAAAGGCTTTTAAGTGCGCCTTATAGTGCGGAAAATACGGTACATTACACCACCGCTGGTTGTTGATGTTTACGTTCACGTTTCGGTTCGTCTCTTAAATCAGTAACAGTTATATTAAATCAGAGCTTACCTTTAGTTTTATCTGGATACATAGAGAAATATTCTACCCTTGTATATAGGTTGTTAGTCCAGGTTGTTTTACTTTCCTCAACCAAAAAGGCACTGGACCCCAAAAACTGCTCGGTTGTGCTTTCGTTCAAACACTTCACTCTGGTATCTCTCCATCAGTGCATGTTGAGAGGTTCATGTTTGTGCATGTGTGTGTGTGTGTGTGTGTGTGTGTGTGCGCGTGTGTGTGCGCCATAGACTGTAAATATTACGGTGTGCGCGTGTGTGTGCGTGTGTGTGTGTGTGTGTAAGCCTGGTTTATGTATGTTCACCTTTAGTCTATCTACTTCTAATTCATAATAAACAGAGAGTGACAGTTTTATTCCTTTTTCTTTAATATGCAGAGTCTCTTTACTTTTGTCTTCAATGTGTGTGTATAAATCTTTGTTTTAACAATGTGTAAAAAGGTTGGTTTTAATGCCATGGCATTGTTACTACCCACTACCCACTTACATTTAATCAACCAATCAGTATGCTTAGTGACCTGTTATTAATTACATGTCAGTGCTCAGTCCACAGACTTTATCATGTCCTGAATAAGATCAAACAGAGAATATTGTATGAATTGTTTTGAACATGAATCAAAAGTGTTTTGTTTTATTCTGACTGTGTCATGATTTGGTCTGGTTTAGTTTTGTATTTTGTGTATTTCAGAGTTTAGATTTATTTTTCTTGCTTTAGTTCTCATTCTTCTGGTGTTGCTTGTTTCCCTTGTGTGTTATCTTAATGTTTCCTAGTTTAGTCTGTAGGTGTTTTTATTTTGTAATTTCTTATCCTTGTGTTTCTCTGTACTAGTATTGTTAAATTATTGAGTTCTCTGTGTCTTCCTAGTCTTCTCTAGTGTTTCCTGTTTTATTTTGTAGTTCTTGTCCCCAGTGGTTCTTGTCTTGTATTTCTTCCTGCCTCTGTGTGTGTTTCCCTCCAGTGCTGATTGCCCTCATTGTCTTCACCTGTGTACTTTGTCTCACCTGTGTTTGATTACCTGTGTATTTAGTCTCAGTGTTCCTTCCTTTTTGTAGTCAGATGTTCCCCTTGTCAGTTTGCCAGATGTCTACGTGGCTTATTTTCTTCATTTGGATTTTTTTGTTAAGAAAGTACGTTTTTGGTTTTAGGTGTTTGAGCTTTTGTTAATAAATATTGTTTTGGTTTTCTTCAATTGGGTTCCAGTTCCTTGTTTTTCATACGTGACAGACTGGCTGCAACAAAAAAAAGGGAAATGGGCAGAAACAGGGTTTCCTTAAATCTTTAATTTTCCTGAATAGATTTTGAAATTGAATCTATAAATAAGTAGAACTATGAGAATAGAATTATTGATAAATTGGATTTTGTTTTCCAGCATTGCTGGTTTGACTCCCGTGTTGTCCTGTTCACATGTTGGACTGTGATTTTAACATTCTTTACACTCTTAAGATCAAATGATTCCCCCTGGTTGCCCACATGTGGTGCTTTGCCTTAAATAACAGTGAGAGGTGTAGTTCATTATAGTGCACCATATGCTTATTCATAAGATTTGCTCATTAATCTGTTCAGAATGAAGTTGGGGAAACTCCCCCAAAACACCTGTCATAGTGTGATAAATGTATATATTGTAATAAATCAGAGTTCTAGACCAGTTTTATAACCATTATGTTCCTTTATGTTTCTCACAACTCACAACAGCAGGATGAAGATTCAGGTGGTTTGATAAATGCTGCCACCTTGTGGCTAAAATTAACTTTGTATAAAAAGATAAATATTTGAAAGCTTTAAAACCATCATATTCATACACCATGCATATAGTACAAATAATATAAGCCAACATTTTCTGTAAAATATACAATCATCTCATCTCATTTTTTGATACATCAGCATTTCTGGACAAGAAGACTAAGGTGTCTGTGGCCCTCTCCTCCTCGGCCCCTTAATAATCCCCCGTACAGGAGCTCTCATCTGTGCTCGCAGTGGAGCCCTGAGTCCAACGCTGGGGGGAGTCCTCTGCACCGGCCGCCGAGGCAGAGTGAATCTGTCACTCCTTAGATCGTCCACAAAACCCTCCATGCTGTCAAACTTTGCAGAGAGCCTCGCCAGCTCATCTTTTAGAGCGTTGAAGTGCTTGTAGAGATCTCCCAGAGCATCTGACAGGGGCTGGATCCTTCACACAAGTAGAGATATGAAGGAAAGTACAAATGACTAAATTATTTTAAATGACTGCATGACCTGTCAAAGAGCTTTGGTACTTTGATTTTCCATAAGCTCACATTAAATTGGAACATTGTTTACTGGCAGAAGACAAAGAGAGCCAAGTCAAGTTGACAACTTGAAAGTCAGGCCATGCTGTTAAGGAGGAACAGCCCCATCATCTGCAGGAAACATCAGGACAACAGACATAAAGCATGGTAGTCCCTTAAGAGAAGATGAAAGTTTATAAAGAACACATTTTTGTCCAGAATCTCAGAAAAGACACCTACGAGTGAACAAGTGAAATATTTACTCACGTAAACATTTGGCGCAGAGTCTTTTTTTTTAAAGAAAGGTTCAATGACTTGGAGTTATATAAATCACACAAGTGAAGAGAAAAGAAAAGAAACCATCTTGTGATGTTTGTGTTTTAAAATCATGACAAACACTATCACCTCCAAATGAATGTGACATGAATATGATATTAGTGTGTACAGAGTGAAGGGAACTTTAATACGATGCAGAAGAAGATCATGTTTGTGTCTCATTATGAGTTTCTGTTGATTTTTATAACTAATAACAGAAATAACAGGACAGATTTACAGCTCATAAAAAAGATTATGAAACATTTTTAATCAGCTCAACTAACAGATATGGACTTTATGTTTTATACATAAACTTTTTTGGACCCTCAGGTTATTTACTAGATTCAAAGAAGATCATCAGAACTCCAAAGACAACAACAACATGACAAACAGGAACAAACAGACATAAATCCTGTCTGTTATTAATGAATGAAAACAGTGCTGAGTGTGTAAACTCCTCCTCTTCCTCCTCCACCTCCTCAGTGTCTTTATAAGCTTCAGTGTCTCTTCTCCTCACACTCCAACCCTGCTCACCTCTCAGCTGGACAGTAAGGGACGTTTACAGCACACACTGACAACATGCTGGGGACCCTGTGCACTCTCATCACTGCTCTAACATGTAAGGAGGCTGACTTACTGCAGCTTTGAGCTCATGTTGGATTCATCAGTCTGTGTGTTTCTCTTGACTCCATGTCATCTTGTTGTTTCCAGGTGTGAGTGCTGTGACGCTGGTGACACAGAAGCCTCCTGTTGTGACTCTGAGGAGAGGAGAGACAGCCACCATGGACTGTAACCTGGGGACTGTGACTAACAGTTATGCTCTTTGGTACAAACAGATTCCAGGAGGAGTTCCTCAGTTTATTCTGAGCAACTATCACAGCTGGAGCTCTCCAAGCTATGGCTCTGGTTTCTCCTCTCCAAAGTTCACATCCACTCATCAGTCACAAACAGATTATCGTTTGATCATCAGCACTGTGGAGGAGAGAGACTCAGCAGTTTATTACTGTCAGACACATGACACCTCTGTTGATGAGTTGGTATCACAGTGATTTACACCGTGACAAAAACCTCCTCTCTGAACACTTCTGCTTTTTGTCACTGCACTTAACTTTGACCACAAAGAAGCCACAAAAGAAATTCAACACTATTAATATTATAGTGCATACATTTCAATACGCTATTATTCGTCTGATTTTTTCAATGTTGGTTAAATATTCTCTGGTTAAAGAATTATCATGTTGTGTCTCCTGTTCTTTGAGTCAGCTCTTGTCTCACACGTTCATCAACAGGTCCAGTACTGATGCACAAACACAACATGTCTACATTCCCTGAGCAGATAGATTCAAAGGAACACTTGCTGTGTTTTTCTTAACTTCTCAAATGTGCTTCTCTTGTCTCACAGACAAACTGTCTGTAACCTTGTCTGCCCCCCCCCCCCACCAGCTGACCTCACAGAGAAGATCTACATGAAACAGAAACACAAAGAAAAGAGTTTCAGTTGCATAATATACCTTGATTAAAATGTAATACCATTTAGTGATCTTAGATTGAGCCTGAGCAGGCTGATGAAAAGAACCAAACACCTTCTGAACATGTTGTTTTAAAGAGGTGTCATCTCTTCTTTTTACCCGTCCTGTCTGCTGTCTTATAAGATCAGGGGGAGTTTCAGTCCATCAACCTGACTGGAGTTTGTCCAGTATATCTATTTGAATAAAATATACTCTCCATCACATCCAGCTTACTGCTCAGTATAGACTGCAGCTTGTTGCATGTTGCACAGAGCCTAGACATCTACCAGTTCTCCTGACACAGGGTCTGTGTGAGTCAGGCTGGGACCACAGGATCACATACGAGGTTTCATTTGAAGTATTATAGTAGAGGAGCTCTGGAGCAGCAGACAGTTTGCTTCCACCTTCACATGTGCTGCAGTCTTCAGTCACTGTCTGTCCAAAGAGAGGAATTGTGATACTGACATGTTCTCTCTGTATGTTCTGTCTAATTCACAGGCATACAATCACTGGGTTAGTGACAGTGTTTCACATTGATTAGGAAACAATTGATTTAATACACACAAACACACACACATTCTCACCTTGTCATTGTGTGTGTTTGTGTGTTCTTTACTATGGTGTTGTATTTTCTGTAGCAGCAGCCTCTTTGTTATGTCTTGTGTTCATGCAGAGAAGATTTTACACTTCACAGAATATGAGACACCAACACATGTAGAAAGTAAGTCGATAAACCACCTTTACAAGAATCTCTTTAAACATTTCTCTTGTTTGATTTGTTGTGTTTAAGAAAAGTAACCCTTTTTTGTACTCAACATACCATTTTATAAAAATGCACTTTACCTTTATCCATGAAGACAGATGGAAACTACTGGCAATGTGGAGCTACCAATTGACCTAATGAGCATGTCTGGACTGTGGGAGGAATCCAGAGTACCTGGAGAGAGCCCACGCATGCACGGGAGCAAACTCCAAACAGAGAGGCCCTGTCCAACATACAATTCAGACTTGAAAAGCTTCTGTTTCTAGATTATGAATTTCACAGCAACAAAATTGATTCATTATCAACGACCACCTCTTCATAGAACTATAGTCACATTTACATCGTGTTATAAAGGTTTCTTTTTGGTACAATCGTGAAGAAACTTGAAAGGATACTAAACAAAGTGTTCTTCAGGGTGAAAAGAGTTTGATAAAAGTCCATCAGTGTTGTTGTAATGTGAGCAGACTGATGAAAGAATGACATGTTGACAGTGAAAGTTGCTCTCAACAGGATGTTTCAGTTCCACTCCCCTCATTAGTGAGAGTCAGGAGGTTTTTGTACAGCCATGTATACAAACTGAATCACTGTGGTATTCGGACAAGGCACCAAGCTGATTGTGACGAGTAAGTACTTTGAAACTCATCATGAAATGAGAGAGATTTGATCATTCTTATTCAAACTGATCAGTAATCATCATTTGTTATTTAACTCATTGTTCAGATATATTTTTGTGTGAACAACACACATTTATATTTAGTTCTCTTTCTGACACCAGACTATGTCTTGGAATGAAACGGAAAGCTTTCAAAAAGGTTTCAACATTTGTATGAAATAGTTTCTGTCAATTCTGAAGTATGTTGATGTTTGAGGAATGTTGAACAGTTCAGATCAAATTACAAAATGTGACAATTCATGTCCAAATATAAACGGCATGTTTGATCCTTTCTAAACCTTTGTTGAATCATCTCTAAAATGTTTCTTACAATGTGATATGAAGAATTCAAACTTCTAAACTTCTCGTGTTTCAAATGTTTAAAGTTTTTGATGAGTTAGTTTTTTAAATTAAAAACATGCTCTGGATTATTTCCTCATTTCTAAGTGTTAGATAGTTGGTTAGAAAAAAGAATTGAATTGTTATTTCAGGACAGTTGTTTCATATTTCACAAAGTGTCTTTATGATATTGTTACTGTCATAAAAAATGATCCTGATTGATGAATGACTCATCATTTTGATCATCATTTCATGATGTTTTTACATGTGATGACAACATTCTTTACTGCAGCCTGTTTGTCAAACTGTGAACAAAACTAATGAGTTGATGGTCTCTGTCATACTTTGTATTGAATGACTTCACTTGTACTCATGTGTTCAATGTCCTGTGTGTGTGTGTGTGTGTGTGTGTGTGTGTGTGTGTGTGTGTGTGTGTGTGTGTGTGTGTGTGTGTGTGTGTGTGTGTGTTTCAGGCTCCAGCCTCTCTCCTCCTGTCCTCACAGTCTTCCCTCCGTCCAGTGCTGAGCTCCAGTCCAACAAAGCCTCTCTGGTCTGTCTGTCCTCTCAGTCTGTGCCTTTTGCAGATGTGAGCTGGTCTGCTGCTGGGAGTCCAGTGAGCAGTGGATCTCTACCAGCACGGCCGTTCAGCAACCAGACCAGACTTTCCAAATCAGCAGCTATCTGTCC